GAAAGAGTCAACACCAGCATGTTCCATATGCCTTTTTGGAGTGAACACCCTGTACCCAGATTCTCTCCAAAAAAGAATGAGCTGGCTTGCTCCAGAAGACTGTTCAAGTGTATACTAGCATCCACCCAGCACAGATGCTTGGAGAGCTTGGGGCTGGAGTCAGAGACCAAGAGTGTAACTGACAGTGAGGAGCACCAAAGGTGAACAGCAGCCAGGCCAGACACTGTGGTAGCTCCCAAGCCACAGACACTCATGTTCCACAGGTATGCCTTTTCCCAGGAAAAACAAGTTTCATGATGTTTGTCCTTCTTAATCATTTAAGTAATAAAATATTCTAGCAATTTACAACTCCCCAAATAATGATCAGTAAGAATATTATGTTTCAGATAAGACTTTGACTTATTCAAAGAGTATTCCCAAGTTCTCTATGTATGTAGTAGTAGATCTGATACAGTGGCAAGTACCTCTAAGAAGACACAAGGCTTTTTCAATTCTTTCTGCCATTCCGGGGACGACAGAGAGGTTAATTTATGTTGTATAGTGGCATTTCTGGCTGTTTTGCAGCAGCAGTATACTACACAATTTTGTGGTCCTCAGCATTATTTGTAGCTTATTCATGCTCTGCTGCATAATGAGACATATATTGTTCCTTACCTTGTTGGGCTCATCCCTGTCTGCATCTATACAGATACCATGCTCACAGAGTGTCTCAGATCCTCCCTGGCAGTCATCAAATTTCATGGCACAGTGAGGCCCATAGGTTTCCGGAGTACAGGAGCAGCTAACGGTGAAAGCAGACAGAAAAATCAAAATGTTGTCTTTATATAGCAGTTAAAAATCACATATTGCCATAGCAAGAGATCATTCCTCACTCTTTTATTTGTGTGGCATTTCTTGTAAATCCATCTGTTTAGCCATACTGACAATCTCATTAATACTCATGCATAGAGGCAAGGCTCCTGTTCAACAGAAGCTCAAGAATTACATGGGACTTGTGTACATCCATGACTGTCAGACCCTATGGGAGACTCCACAGCTTTCTGTTGCATTCAGAAGTGCAAATGCACAAAAAAAGGAAATCTTTAACATGAGACTTCAGCAGAACATGAGCCTGAAAATCCCCACTTCAGTCAGAGAGCACCTAAACTTCGTGTTTCAGTTTATGATCCTCATACGACGCCAAGTCCCTGAAACCCTACCTCTAGTGACAGGCAGAAATGCCACGTCTGGCCTGTGCAGGGAGCAGGGTACCTTCACACCCTCACCTGCACTGCCTCTGTCTCACTAGCAGCCAAGCTTTCAGGTGAGCGTAGCTGGCAGGAGGAAGCATTTGGGGCTGATGGGGTGGGAAGAACAAAGTAGTGGGCTGAAGGGAGGCGTTCTACAGGGGGTACCTGGCTTGCAGGCTGCCAGCTGCTTTGCGCTGCTATTTATAGGGCACACCTTAGTCACAGCACTGCACATACCGGGTGGAACTGAAATTGGGAACTTCTAAGCCGTCGAGTAACACTTCCCTTTTCTCTGACCCTTTATTTCCACATGGACCAAATCTGAGGCTCTGAAATAGAGCTGAAAGGGACCTCAAGCTACAGAAAGCTGCCCATTAGTTCTTTAGCTTTTTGTTAAAATGACAGTAAGAGACTTATTTGGAGGCAAGTTATATGTTGCGGTGTCTGCTGATGACTGCTCCTCACAGAGGCATATGTCAGGTACACACTCCCGTTTAATTGCCTTTAAGGTGGCTAATGAAAACTATTCTGTAAAAGCATTTACCTGCAGAATTTGAATCAGAGTTTTCCAATGCAGTTGATCTGGACCTTGGAGCAATTTACTGCTGCTGTCCCTGACAGGGTATCACATGCTCAGTTGAAATAGAAGTTTGATAAGCCGATTGCAGGTAACTAGCTGCTGCACCCAGGACAAGAAAACTGGATGAACTCAGGATTAAAAAACCCACAATAGCTTAATGCTTAACTGCAGTCTACAACACTATAAGGCAACATGTTCATTATTGTAAGAGAGGGCAGATAGACCAACACCATCTCACCAGTGCAGTGGCTCAACATGGGCAAGTACAAAGGCAACAGGTCAGGGAACCAGATCACCTTTGTATGTTCAAAGTACATCCAGAGCTCTACGTTCCACTCCAAAGGACACAGCAAGGAAATTTGACCAGCTCCAAAGGAGGAGGACAATGGCACTGTCTCCTGCATAATCTGGCAAAGATTAATCTGCTACCCATCCGAAACTGCTCATAGAACAGCTCCAAGAAGTAGGTCACACTGCAAGGAGCTTCAGCCAAACTGTGATGCGCTGCTGCTCGGGACTGCCCTGGTTCTCTCTCATCACCAACAGCACATCGTGATTGAGGCCCCCATTATTCTGGTTCTGACACAAAAGTCTGCTAGACTTAGGGACTCTCAGGGCCTTCCATCCAACCAATGCAATGTCCTATTAAGGTCCTGACTCAGGAAAGCTTTCCCTGAAAACCCGTTCTTTTTTCTCAATAGTTTAGTGCATTCCTGAATTACAGCTTGAAGCATGCAGATAAAGAATCTGAAGAGGAGTGAAGACTGTGTTATGCTCCATTTCACAGTACCTGATCTAGTACTGGCCTTTACCTGGTGTTATCACCGGGGGCTATGGAAAATTAAATATCATCATCTTCTTTACTCACAGTCCACACTGGTGCATATAACTACATCAGAGAAGGATTGGAGTGACCTTGGTTGCTGGGACCCAGAAAAACTAGCAGCAATGTTCTCACAGTTTTTGAAAACAGGTGTGTCAAGCTCTACTTGGGGGTGCATTTAGCATCTGGGGAGTACTTCAAAGACAGACAGTATGTGAAGGGAGATAGATAGAGAAGATAGTACAATGGGGTTGGAGAAAGCACTCAATAATCCCTGAATAAACTTGAGGGCATAAAGCAAAAGCAGTAATATTAAGATTTGAATGATTTATGAAGAGGTCATAGTTCATTTCAGGAGGCACTGACACAGCAAGTACTAAAGAGGGCAAGGATTACAGTGGGGGGAAGAAAATCACAGGAATCACAACTGTACTAACACAACGACAACACATGCAAGCAAGGCAGTGGGTTTGTCCTCTCCAGCCTTAATTTAGTCACACACCTGTACTCTACATCTCTGAACACGCTAAGGAACAAGTAAAGGCAGGGTGCTTTGTGTGTCATTTCCTTGACAAATGACTGTGTTGGGGACAGCTGCCGGCAAGCTAGAGACAGCCTTTAAAAACAAAGAAAAGCTGACAGGAAGCTTGTCATGTACCACTGACACCTCAGCAGGCTCTGTGTTAATGCTGAAGTGTGAGAAGCACTGAAGAAGAACTTCATTTGTGTGGGGTTCTTCCAAGAACTGACAAAGCACTACAAGCCAGTACCACACCAAGCAAATATTTGTGGGGGCCATGATTTTCATGCTGAAGCAGGAGACAAAATGCTTTGCAGAAAGCTATGGCATGCTCTCCAGCCTGCTTGTTCCCATTTAACAGGGATAGCTTTGTATTATATCTGAAAGTTATTTATTTACCAGCTTCTCTGACATTTTGGAGAACAACACACAGAATGTTCAGGCTGGCTTGGCCTGTAAATAAGAGCGTGTTTCCTAACAAGCTGGGCACAGCAGAGAAGGAGCCACTCCAGGCAGGATACCCACGGGCAGCCCAGGCACGCTCTGGGCCAGCCAGCTGCAGACAGCATTTCCCCTCCCTTCCACCCTGGCAGCACCGTGCATGGCTTGCTCTGCTGCAGTTTTGGCAGTGCCTGCACTTCTGGCATTCCTCAGAGTTATGTGGTGTGCTGGGAATGCCAGTGACCAAGGTTGACTATACATTCAGCAGGCTTCCAACAAATCAAAGCCTTCACTGGACCAAAGCTGTCCACCTCCTTCACCTCCTCAATCCCTTGGTTCTCAGGGTGTAAGTGATAACAGAGGTATGATAATGTGGCTGTGATAGGTGGGCATGGTGGCAACTGCTGCTTACAGACCAGCACGCTGCACCTCGCTGCCCCATCTGCTTCCCATGGTGCAGTGAATTTCCACTAAAGCATCTGCACCTACAACAGGGGCTGGGTCACTGGAGCTAGTTTCCTGTTTGCACACTTCTTCACCAGAATGGCTGTGTGATAAACCTAATGTTTTGCTGCTCTTCTTGTGTCAAAGTAGGCAGTGGCTTCAGAGGGCCTCCTGTGTCTGCAGTGGGCTCGGTTTGCAGGGTGTCATGGATTTCATATTCTCTCAGACTGCGAAGGATTATAGGGCTTAGATACTTAACAGACTTATTCCTAGTAGTTGTGCTGCAGGTGTGATATGGGGAAAAAAAATAGCAGGATATTTTACATAGAGTTTTTGTGTCTAGCTTTGAAAAGTTACCTGTAGCTGCCTGGTGTGTTCACACAAGTGGCTTCATTTTGGCAGCCTAATGCTGTTCCAGCATAAATCTGGCATTCATTAACATCCACTGAACAAAGCGGGCCCTGAGATGAAATGGAAACCCAGTTTATTTTCTAAGTAACTGAGAAATCAAGCAAACCATGGAGCCAATGTTTAACATAGTTTCCAAAGAAATACAAAGCATGGGCTGCTATCAACACAGCTTCACTTATGAAACATTATAACAAAGCTATTTTTCCTCTGTGTTTCTGTGACCCTGGCTATCAGTCAGATGGGGGATAAAATATTTCAGATGTTTGCAGAAAGCGTACAGACAGCATAGTCCTGTAATCCTCTCTGCTTTCCAACTTGCTAGCAAAAGGAAGACAAAAATTTCTTTTGGACTGTTTCTATGAGGAGATGCTGTTTTATTAAGACTGAAAGCACAGCAATTTTGACCCAAATCTTGCCTGGACAACTTTCAAATTGAGAGTCTTTGAGAAGAAAATGTAAGTTTTCCACCTCTAATACATGTAACAGCACCATTAAAGCTTTTTTCAGTAAAGTCTTCAGATTTAAAAAAAAAAATCAGAGTGGAATTAGTTACTTATATCTCCATTTATGTAATTTATTTGAGCTTGGATAAATATCATTCCCCTCCCCCATTCTCTCCCAATTCTTGTGTAAGATCAACAGCAAGGGTACGCAGTTCAGTTCACTGCTTAGCAAAAACCAAAGACTAATTCTTTGCTGTGGGAACTGCCAAGCATGACAGACTTCATGGGCCATCACCCGCATGTAACAGTGCAGGATCTGGCCCAGGGGTTTAGGCTTCATTTTTTTTTTTGGTATATATTGATATCATTCAGAAGCAAATGTGTTGCCTTTCAACCAAATGATGAGCGTGATACTGCTGCTTTGCTGCTCAGTATATCTCACTCTGTCCTGAGCCACCTTAAAATGCTATGCTTCATTACAATTACACTAAGCCAGGCGTATCCTGACAGTTAAAATACATGCTCTGTATTCAAGGAGGATAAAGACTCACCTGCCAGTTGCTGGGACAGAGGCAAAAGAAACCATCCAACAAATTCACACAGGTCCCCGAGTTCTGACAGGGGTTACTAGTGCAGGCTTTACTCTGGATAGCCTGAAACCCAGGAAATGAGCAGAAAATGTTTATTTTTTCCATTAGCATGTATTTTCAAGACAACCCTCTTTTTTTTTCCCTATTCTTTCTTCAGTTCTCTTCCCGCGCCCCCTCAGCAAGGTTGATTTGTAAAGGTTTGGAGCTGTTTCATTTATCCCTGTACAAAATACTGACTAATATGATTGGTCTTACACAGGGTGTCTGGCTGCAAGCACCGGGATGAGAAAAGTACAGTAAGAAGTAAATATTAATAGAGACTGTTCTTCAGCAGCAGACTGTGACTCTAGATGGAGGGTTATCTTGTCTTCTCAATTCCTTGGGTGACTCATCTGACAACTGCTTTTACTGACAGCTGTATCTGTGGCTTGTAACAAGCTCAGTGGAGAAGCAGGTGACAGCTGAAAATTAGCTATTTCCAGTACAATATAAAATCCAGCTTGAGTTCTCTAGTCTTTGTCTTGACAGATCAGTGAAGGAAGAGCTTATTCCTTCTTGGTATCTAGTTGTTCTTGAGGCTACAGATGTTTTTCCTTTAAGGAATGCAGGCTCCTACACAGTTTATATTTTGTAAGAGGGCATCTTACCTCCTTCACAAATCTTGATTTTTTTAACCTTCTGTTACCAAAATAAGTTTTCCTGAGTAATAACACAAGAGGGGAGATAAGTTTTCCTGAGCAATAACACAAGAGGGGAGAAATCATGTAGCTATTTAATGATTGTAACCTCACTTTATTTACTTGGGACTGGGCTTTTATTTTTTGATCTCTAGTTTGCTTTCCATTTATTTACCTGCTCTAAGCTTTGAAGTCTGTTGTCAAGATTCACGACCTGCAAGAGAAAAATGCCATTTACATTGTGCTTGGTATGAGCATGACAGAGTTACGTGCTGGATGCCTTTAGGCCAACAAAATATTTTCTTTTGAGAAAAGAGAATAGCTGGCATGTGAATCCAGGTGACAATCAGGCTCAAATCAGGCCCCATTCACTGAGATTTTGGTGGTTTAGGCTGCTCAGAAAATGCCAGCTTAAATATGTCTCAGTTTGGCTCCAAAAAACTGAGACTTGCTGTTGTGAAGAGGTGTTCAAGTGCTCAACATTGAGAATGTGAATATTCCAGTGGGACTGTCTGAGGCCTGGGCAGGTGAAGGGTGTGGGTCTGAGACTGTCCACCAAAAGCCAGGAAAAGGCTCACCATAACTCAGCATGGTATCCACCACAAACAACAAGCTGAAAGGGGACCTGTGAATGTGACAGATACCTGCATAGCACAATTCTCTCAGGCTGTGCAACAGTTTCCTGTAGTAGCAACACTGTAACAAAGGACACTTAAACCAAATCAGACAAAATCTCCTGTTGGAGAAAACTCTTGAGTAGCAGGGAAGAGACAAAACTACTGTATAGTCTTTTCTTTCCACTGCAACCCCCTGTAGCCCATCTCAAATATGGGATGGAACGTCTATGTTACCACTATAAGAACATATATGGTCCGTGCCCTAAATTTAGTGGGATATCGTTTCCATAAATATTAGCAGATATAGTTCCTAGAGATGCTGACAGTGAACAAAAGAAGCATCCTGGTAATGGGAAATTATGGGATTTACAGAAATATTTTCATAATCTCCAGATTTACTGAATAAATATCTCAACATCAAAGATACACTCTGAAGTGATGTAAAATATGGACTCCAGCCATATTTAACTCCCCACACTGGAGTCCAGAAATACTAAAATCAACGACGCAATCATGTTAATCTGAGGAATGGCAAATGGGGAACACTGGAGGAGGATACCACGAGGGGGGATGGCTCACTTTGGAGGCTAGCGCAGCAACCTGCTGGGACACGTTCTGAGAGGCACCGTTGGCTTTTTTAAGTTCTTCGATCTCTGCTTTATTTTCTCTCACCTAAATTTAAATAACAGAGATAATGTGAAACAAGCTTGGCTTTTTCAAAAAATTCTCAAATGTAAACAAGCTTCGCTTTTTCAAAGGCTTAGGAAAGTTTCATTCTTGCTTAACTTTACTATTATAAAATCCACTTAAATATAGAGAGCTGTGTTACATACACAATTTAATCTCTAAACTATTTTCTGTAGTGGCCTGATTACTTTACAAGTCTGCAATAGCATTCTTTCATATTAGAGTGCTGACATAGATAATATCAAATACCAATCATACAAACCACATCAAACATTTGCTAAGACAAATTCTGAAGACAATTAAAATATTAATGTACAATACTGAAAATGAAAACATATTACAGAAAAGTAACTACATCACCTGACTAAAAAGTTCTGCAAGGTCTTCTTCATTAATTTTTATTTTCCCCAGTGGTCCAGTTATAAATTCAATATTTTTGCTGGAGCCAGCATGGAACACTAAATTACCCTGATCTGAGTACAAACGAGGCCTGTAGTATTACGCAAAAAAAAAAAAAAAAAAAGAGATCATTTAATTACAGGTCTGCTAGAGAGTATATAAAAAATAGCTGCAGTAAAGCCATTCTGTTCCCAGTACTGGCACTGTGAAGCCACCACGTGAACAAATGCATTTGCAAGCAATCGTACTTACTGCTCATCGTAAATGGTTCTTTTCTGCCTCTTCTTTTCATAGTGGTTGGATTCACAGCTCAACCCAGTAAGTAGCAATAATGCAACCAAAAGCCCAGGAGCAGCCCAAACCATTGCTCTCCTCCAGCTGTCCTGCATCTGAAGTGAAACTTCCAGTGTTGAACTGTACTGCTGTGAGCCTGGGTGCCCTTTGCTCTTAACACAGCTCTTTATTCACAAAGTGCCTGTTCTGCTGTCTTGTCTTGCCAGGGTGAACTTTATCTCACTATAGAATAAAACCACAGAGTCCTAGAATGGTTTGGTTTGGAAGGGACCTTAAAGATCTGGTTCCAACCCGCATGTCATGGGCAGGGACACCTTCCACTAGGATCAGGTTGCTCAAAGTCCCATCCAGCCTGGCCTTGAACACTTCCAAGGAGGGGACATCCACAATTTCTCTGGGCAACCTGTTCAGTGCCTCCATGCCCTCACAGTAAAGAATATCTTCTTAATATTTAATCAAAATCCATCGTCTTTCAGTTTGAAACTGTTAAACCCTTGTCCTATCACTATACTCTGTGATAAAGGTCAGTCCCCATCTTTCCTGTAGGCGCCCTTTCAGTACTAGAGGGCTGCTGTAAGGTCTCCCTGGAGCATTTCATTCTCCAGGTTAAACAGCCTCAGTTCTCTCAGCCTGTCCTCACAGGGGAGGTGCTCCAACCCCTTGATCATCTTAGGTGTCTTAATAAGATTGACAGCATGCAAATGGTCTAGACAATAAATGCATTTTTCTCTTTTTGACTTTTGGTGTCAGTAGCTTTGAAGATCATTAAACTGAAATCTGCTTGTATTTTATCATTATGTCTTTGACCTTTACACAGCTGAGCACCCCTGTGTCTCAGAGCATGGTGTAACCTGTAGCTGGCTACTGCAGGAGTGCCTTGCTCTCCCAACATGCTGCACCACACAGGCGAAGGAAAAATTATTTGGCAGCTCTGAAGGATGCAGATTGTTACCAAAAAACCCCACAACAACCAAACCCCACATATAAAACCTACAGTGGCTGGCAAGAGATATTTTTATTGAAAAAGAATCTTCCAGCCCATGATTTAAGGGGCAGATGACAAAACAAGCTAGCAGTACCAAACAGCACCCCATGGATTACAACAGCAAAACACAATTTTAACCAAATATGGTTGTTCTGGCTCAAGGATGACTCAGTCCCTAGATGTTGCAGAGACAATTACAAACCAAGGGGACTGCATTTTTTTGGTAAGTATAGGCTGTCTTCATTGCACACACCAGGGCTCCCAAGTTCAGGGCCAGCCGCAGAAAATGCAGAAGACTAAGGAAGAATTCAGAGGCTCAAAATCAACAAAAAGATGCAAGTTAATATATTCTGAGAGCCAAAATTTGAATCTTGATCCCATTTTTGTCCTTCAGCAGTACCTTGCAACCTTCTCTAAAGAAGCGTCCCACCTAGTTGCTTCTCGGTATTTGCTTCCAAGGCCCAGGCTGTTGCTGTTGGAAGCCATGAGAGAGTCCACATCCCACTTCCCCTTTGCTTTTGCCAGAGTCTCCATATTCCCCTTGCACGACACCTTGCTGTGCTTCCATCTCCCTGCTCAGAGCAGCTTTGTGCATCTTTTCCTTCCTCATGCTACAAGCTATCCAAACCTCCAAGCCCAGCACCATTCTTTTTTATTTTCCCTTTTGTTTAGTAGACAACTCATTCAGGTTCCTCACATTTATACTGAGAGTAGAAACAATTGTAACTGCTCTTGTTCAAAGATAACAGTAGCCACCATTCACTGATCCCTTAAGCCTCAGACCTTCCTGGAGGCCATAGAACTCCATCATTTCCTAACCCTGCCCAGCCTTCCTTTCTACTCCAGTTTGCTCTTGTCACCTACAGATATCCCACAGATCTGTGCGACATGCCCTGGAGCTCGTGGATTGAATGAACTCTACAGCTTTCACAGACAGAAATCTTACAAAGGTCAAAGCACCCTGGAAAGAAATTGGATGTGGTGATCGGTCACCTCAATGTCACCTCAAAAACAGAGGTGGACTGTGAAAATCAGTGTGAGCCCAAGACAGCTAATGTTTCTAGTGCTGCCACAGATAATAACTTGATCCTTGCTATAAATAACTATAATGTCTGAGATTGTATCAGCTGCACCCTACCACCTCCACTACTTCCTGTTGTTTGCATAAAAACCCTAGATTTTTATTACATTGTATTATCTGTGCTTTTAGAAACTTGCCTCAGAATCCAGAACAGCGTGAGCCTGCTGACCACCTTGCTTGTGCCTACTGAGACTGTGGTGCAGGTAACCCCACCGTTACTGCTGCTGCCTAGGTCTGGAAGGGCAGAGGTGAAGCTCTTCCCATCCCATACGCCTACTGGTGCAGCAGCAGCAGCTCAAGTCTTTGGATATTCACCTGCTCCACAGCAGCCTGTGGCCCCCAGGAGACCGAGTCTATCTCCTGTTGCTGCCAGAACAGAGGAACATGAGGAGGAATCCCCATGTGTTGTCCTTTACCTTAACAGAGAATAGTGTTGACATGAAAATACAGAATTGTGTTCTCAGTTGTTGAAAACTATCACTGCTTCATTCATTCCAAATTAGTTATGATATTTTACACCAGCTGAGGATCTGTTCTCACACAGTTGTTTTATTTCCTATTCTGCTCTTTGCTCTGTAACCTCTGTTCACAAATAGAAGAGCATAGATAAATTATTGATGTCTGTCTAGTCGACAGGACAGCTTCAGCCTCTGTGTATCCTGGTATTGTCCATTATCCCTGTGCTCACCAACATTCTTCATGTCTGTTCTGATGTCCGTGTGTGGGTTGTTTTTTTTTTTTTTTTTTTTTTGCATGTGTTTTTATTTTTTATTTATTTGAACAGTCTGCTAAGTTTCTCTAACTGTCAGTTGAGTGTCAGCTTGAAGAAACCACGGGCCAACTAAACCTGCACCGCTTGGCGGGCTGGCTGAACGTCTGCACACTTCAAGCACCCTCTTGCGCAAGGTCCCTTGTACGGGGACGGTTTGCAGCCCGGGCTTCAGCTGTGACCAACAAAACCTTGTCTTTGCTCTATCATTTCTTTCACATGCTGAGTATGCACTGTCCCACTTTGCTGCCTGTCAGCCTTCGAGTCAGCCTTCCCTTTCCAGATAATTAGCTCCAATATACCAAATGACCAATGAGCAATAAACCACAGAGTAAGGGGAGAAAGCTGCAAACACAAGGAGGAAGAAGTAATGATTTTCACCTTCTCTTCATTTAGGCTTTACATCTTAGAAAGTGTTGACCTGAAGACTTTGACTATGCACGTATTGTAGGATAGAAAGAGAGCTCTGGGCATGTATCTAAATATTGCATGACACACCACTTTCTGTTTCATTAGACCTTCGAGATAATACTTAATTTACTCTGTATTCCTAATGAATGCACTTTAGGCTTGCCAAGTTGGGAAATCTATAAATCATTGTAATGAGAAAAATAGGTCCACACCTTTTAACTTTACTGAAACATATCGGATTAAGACTTCAGCTTTGGAGGAACAGAATGTCTGGCATAAGAATAGGGGCTGTTCTTCCTATCAAGGAGAGCTGGCATGAACCCCTCCTCCCAAGACGGATAATCTCACTGACATTATGGCTGAGGAAACATCTCTAAAGAGTGTAGGTTGTGCACAGATTTGGCAGGAATTTGTCTCTATCAAATTCTGGTTGAAATTTATACTGTACCAGCAGTCACTACAATTTACCACCATCTTGCATAGCTGTGTGAAGAGAGTGGTGGTATTGCTCTACTTCTCCAGCAGGATGTGCATGCAATGCAAAGATGCTGCTGGAGAAGACAAGAGATGACTCGGATTATTGCCAGAAATTCAATATGCTTTAATTGCATCTAGGAAGTCAACACAGATGCAGAAAGATGACATAAGTCTGTGACAACACTCCCTTTTTATATGGGAGAAGGGCAACTATTGGTGTGAATCCCAACCTGGCAGATTTTTTAAATGGAAGACTAATAAATAATCTGTTTAATTTCTCTATGGGTGCAAAAAAGCCCCCTGCTATTCAATGTTACAACTCAAATACTTGCAAATAATTATAAATTCAGCCCTGTTGCTGGTTTAATCCCCATTAATGCACATTTATCTGAGTTCCCCCTCAGCTGAGGTCACGTCTCCCAGGACTTTCATCTTCACTTCCATCTTTCCTCTTCCTAATAATACTCTAGTGTTTAAAAGTGGCACATGACATACAAAGCAGTGCTGTTACCTCTGTGGTAGAAAGGTGCAAATTGCTGGTGTAGACAAAGCTCCATGTTGAATTCAGCACTTTCTGTGTGTCCCTATAGCTGTGAGACAACCAAGCACTATTTATTAGGCCCTATATAGAAGACAACCAAACAGAAGGTATACATCAAACAGGGGTGATTCTGAAAGATAATGGCCCTCTTTCTGTCCCTTACCTATAGCCACCCATCATCACTTTCGCCGCTTCTCTTTACTTGCGCCTGGAGAGTTTTATGGCTGCAGCACCTTCCCCAGGGCTGTAGCAGCTGCAAGACTCCATTTCCCACACCACTCCCTAAGGACTTCTTTCACTTCTCAGCATACTGCCCTCTGACATCTGCTTAAGATTTTGCTCCCTCAGTATGATGAAGTTAATGAGTTACCTGCTGATGAAGTTAAACTGGCCAGGAAATCTATATTTTCAGGTTTTAATAGCAAATAGTTAACTAAATCAAAACTAATCTCTTTGTTGTTTCAGCTGTAATTGATCTACTGTCCCAATTCCCCATGGTTCCTTTATCACAATGAAGGCAGTTATATATTAGGTTTTTAGTTTTATTACAAGACTCATATTTTGGCACCTCTGTCCTTCTGACTATTTCCTACATATATTCTTTCTACAAAGCACCAACCACATTGATGTTCCCTATTTTCTGTTTCATTCTTCTTTGAAATTAGGTTCATGAAAAGTTTCCAGTCAGTTATACTGCCTGTGTTCTTTTCTATTATTGATTATTCCAGTCCTTTTAGCACATTCCAATTGCTTTAACGTATATTTGAGTTATTTTTAGGGACCTTCCATTTGCACAGTCACCCTTCTCCACTAATAACCCTAAAGCCATGAACAGACCTGGCTGCACCTCCTCCCTCAGATTTTTTTCTATTCTGTACTGTTGGCTTTATGGACTTGGATCTGAATTAATTCCATAAACCATTTGCTGTGTATTGATGCTGAGATTACAAATATTGGCATTTTGTCACCAAACAAATACGAGGAAGAGTGGTCGTACTGGGTTAGAAAAGATTTACCTAGGTTAGCACCCTGTCCCTAACAGTGGCCAAGAGCAGACAGTTAGGAAATGAAGAGTAGTCAAAGGGGCAAGCACATACAGTACCTCTCCTAGATACTTCCTCGGCCTCCATTTATTTGTAGCTTCGGAACTTCTTCTGCCAGAATTCTAACTTCTGCAAGAATTCTATTTACTCATCACTCTTAAGGATTTTTCTTACATGAACTTGCCCAGTCTTCTCCCCCATGCTTCACCTTAAAACACACATACAGTGCATGAGTAACGCCACATGGTAAGATCACTATACAATCAAAGTGCCACTGACAAATATCAATTATGAGAAGAATCCCATTTTTAAGTGTACTATTTATAAACATAATGAGATCTGTATCTTTTTAAAAATATATACAGAACAAACACTTGACCTAATCAAAAATATTTATTATTGTCTAGGTATGAGAAAATATCTTAGCACCATCAAGCTTTGATTCCAAGTGCCAGGCTGTAATTTGAAAATGTTTGAGATACAAGAGCCTAGTGCATGGGTAAAAGCAGAAGACAAACATGGTCCCAACGAATCTGGGATTTCAGGATGTATTCTTGTGTATTAAAATGAGAGGCTCCCCACTGGAGGAGATTTCAGGGACTTCTTTGCTGCAGTTTTCTGAATCCCAGTGAAGGCTACCCAGTCAGAGTGGTCACATGAAAGCCCTTCCAGCAACCCTCTCTCACTTTAAATTCCACTGAATTTTAGCCCCTCCATTTCTGCTGCTTGCTTCATCAGAGCTATTACCAAAAGATACCTTATCTGTCTTCCTCCCACTGTCAAAAGAACCAGGTGGAGGAATGTCAAAGAGATCAACTCAGTTGTTTTCACAGATGGGTGTCTGGTCATCTAAGGCCACATATATGTTTTCTTCACCAACTACATAAATTCCCCAACCCTTGTAACTGAATAAAGGATAAAAATAACACAAATCTCTTCATGCTCTTCACAATACCATTTAAATTGACACACTATTATTTTCCCTGGTGTCTTGGGTATCAGTTATCTATCCAAACAAGTTGTTACTAAATAAGCATAAACTACCCCTTATGCAGTTTTAACACTAGAATACTCGTGTTTGCACAGGCAAAAGGAAAATGGTTATTGGAATTAATTTTGGGCTCTATACCTAGTTTCTTATACTTTTGCACTATTTTTCCTCAGATATTTCTTTGGCCATTTCTATTTTATATACTATTTATATAAGACTGACCAGAAATGCCTAGCGTCCTTAATCAGTTATTACTTTGTCTCATCCAAATTCTTACTAATAGGGAATATTCTTTAAACATCATGCAGAAAACCAAAATACACTGAATATGTAAGTAATTCCAAATACCTAAGAGGCAAATGTATTAAACTGCCAAGGAAAATAAATATATTTCAGCATTTAGACAATAAGCCAACAGTGTTCACCTCAATATGAATAGCAAGCAAACAGAACAGAGAGATCAAAGGGTGAGCTCAGAATTTAATGTTCATCCTTGAGATGTAACAAATTTTCTAAATTTTCTATTTACTTTAGAAATGTATGACAACTGCTAAAACAGAACTGCACACTCAAAGCATTGGACTGTTCAGATTTCTACTGAGATGTCTCTTTAGAACACAAAATGGGCTTATCCTTGACTAAGTTTAAGACATAAGATAGTGTTATCACAGATCAATGTTTTTCCAACCTGTAATATGCAGATTCTTGATGATCCTGATATTCTTCCTAAGACAGTCAGCAAAAGGTGAGACAAAAAGTCTGGTGGACAGGAGCCTTGCCTTCACTGCATGGAAGGATGCACCATCACTAGAAAATTCTGAGTTCATGTATCAAAAATATTCAAGCCCACTGAGCTAAATAAAGTGTATTTTAGTGACTTCATGGCTACACAGGTTTCTTCAGGAGTATAAGGAATCCCTAGGTTAACTTAGATAAAAACCATCTTACAAAGGTAAGAGATTCTGAGGCAACCAGCAAGCTTCAAAAATTACTGTATAAATATTGCACCACCAAATACAACATTCTTTCTTCAGTGGAACTTCTCAGGTTTGAATGCCATCACATCATCTGTCAGACAATGAAATCTGGTTCAGATGTGCAGAATAAGCAAGCTACAAAACCAAAAATCAGATTCTGGAAATCTCCTTCCATTTATACAGCTGGCTTCCAGATTTCATTTATTTACCTTCCACCTGCTTTTGTAATCACATTTCATTGCTGTGAAAATGCTTAAGCTGTAGTTGCAAAGTGCAGCACTGAGGTAGGCTGCAAAGCACTTATGATTAGGAGACCGCTCAGCACAGGAAGCAACATGGTCATGGAGTGAGGTCAAGCAGGTGCAGCTCGGCAGAGCTCAGTAAAGAGTCTATTAATGACAAACAGATGGGATAAGAAGCAGTCACTCAGTTTAGTGCACTGGTATTACAGGGTTAGCAGAGGTAAAATGAACAAGCATATATTTACAACTCTGAAATTTGTTCTTTCAAAATATCTTCTTCAGAAAACTCTGATTAGCAAACAGATTTTAGTCTTCACAATCACACAAATAAAATTCACTGTCAATATGTAACAGGCTGTATTGCTGTATCAGTTTTAGATGCAGCTAGACAATGTTCAACTTACACTTCAATACTGCTTGCTCATGAGTGGCAGATAAATCATTAAAACATGTTTTACAGATTAAGGAATTGAAAACTAACTGTTAACAGTAATATTTTGCTAAATATTATTATAGTGAGGCAAAATGAATATTTACATACTATTGTTCTAGACTATTTACATATTTTATTTATTTATATATTATTCAGACTTTTTACACAGTTTAGCAGAAAGAGATCCCAATCTGTACATCGAATGGAACTCCTTTGTTTTAATGCCAATGTTTGGATCATGTTAGATAGCAACAGATCTTCCTATCACCATGTTTCTCCCAAGAATAAGACCATATGGCCACTAGATTTGGTTGATAGATCTACAAAATAACCGCCATGTAAACTTATAACTATGATTCGTAACACTGTCAAAAACTCACTGGCTATGTGCAGTTTAGTAGTAGGCACAGCCTAACATAAGCCTAGTACTTTTTGCCATTACAATACTTCAAGAGACCAGGTAGAGAGAGAGGCCAACCTCATCTTTCTCTAGATCCTAGTCCAGATCTCTTTTAGGAGAATCCATTTCCACTTCTCTTTTATAGCTGGAACAGCCCAATGCTCTTGGAGAATGAGACAGTCTGAATTAGGTTAACCCAAGCAGCATGCAAATCAAGACTGAAGAAGAAATACACAAGGAATCAGCATAAGATAAAATATGGTCCAAAATAACAAAGGACTACAAAAAACCTTGAAAGATTTTTATTCCACTGCACCTAAACAAATCATTCCAGATAGATACAGTTGGGCTCCAGAAACCTGCAAATATTTAAAGAGGATGAGACAACTATAAACTACAGACAACACTGTGTCTTCTTAAAAATCATACACAAAATACTGAATCTAATAGCTCAATTAGGTTAAAAAACACATTAGAATTTCAGGTCATATATACAATAAATCTTTTAAAAATGGATCACTGGTGTTCAGAGATGAAGATTTTTTCATGTAGAGCTTGGTCTCTGCACTTTAACAAAACAGCTTTTACATTTATAGCCTTTTTATACTGTACTGAGGCTGTTTTAAGATAAAATAGAAGTCTTATTCATTTTAACTGAGCTGTATGTAAATGCTGCTCTTTCTTTTTTTCATTTTGCAAACTATAAAGAACATTTAAAGAAAGCAATCAAGTCCATGAAACTTCCATTTAAATAAAACACCTCTACAGTGCAAACACACCATAAAAGCAAGGTATTTAAAATATATCAGAACTGTTCAGCAAAACGTCTGGGCAGTATTTTGGTAAGGTTTAATTTTTGTTCAGCTGGCATCAGCTTTCTCTTGAAAGATGGAAGTATTTTCTGTCACCAGTCTGTACTCCTCTGATTCAGATTCTAAATTATCCAAGGAGAATGGAGATCAGTTTTGCCACCACAGGTACATTGAGGCTGTTTCCCAGAAGACGGTAGCATTGCTTTGTTGTTACTTTGTCAGGAAAGCCTAAAACAAAAACATACAGTGCAACACCATTAGTCTGGCTTTGTTCTCAGCTTTTAGTCTCCTCCTTTTTTTCAGTGGACAGTTCTTAATGCAGTTTGCACAGACTGCAGCAGCGTTCACCCCCTGCTCCAAAATGCACCAAGTTACAAAAATAATTCCCAATCAATTAACTGGATTTGTATCGGTTCTTCCATTAGCAGTACTGCCATCTCTAAAGTTTAATAAGAAGTCTCAAAACATCAGTCGTGTCACTAACGCTGATCTATCTTCTCTTCATCCAGCTTAGGACACCCAGCAGTCTGAAGGAGGGCCAGCAGCACCCAAACCACTTAGGACAGCCACGGAGGAACACGGCTGCGGCAGAAGGGTGAAGTGGCAATTCTGCAGACGGACTAAACCGCATTTCCCAATGAGCTTTAAATCCTGCTCCCAAACTGAGCCCCTCTAACCCTCTAGGTTAAGGCAAATCAAATGAGTCCTGCCATGCAATATACAGATTAAGCTATGAGCAAGGCTTGCTCAGCAAATGATCCAGCAGCTGAACAATTTTCCATGTAACTCAACACTGACCCTGTCAAATGATTTCAGAAATACAGACAGCATCTGAAAGCTCCTTCACATGGTAAGTGCGTGGAACGGCAGAGAGAAGAAGGGAGGCCCAGAACAAATTAAACCATTCCTGGTATTGTGAAAGGGCTGTTGCATACTGAGTGCAGGAAGGTGACCAAGCTTCTGAGAATGAGCTGCCAACGGCCAGCTAGTCTGCTGCAACTGATCTTCATGGCACTTGGCTTACTCCAGCTGTGAGCTGAAGTGCGTTTGCTCCAAGCTGAGCGAAAGATGAACAGCAGTGGTGATTCAACCTTTCGGTCATTTGCTAAGCTGCTGAAACTTGATCACATTCAATTATCTGACCTTTCCCTAAGATGAAAACCTAACTTTGTGCCCAGCATCATCACCAGCCAGACCAGCTCTGATGCACAGACACACTGTGTGGGCAATTAGTGATATATATTCTGAAGTTTTCATAGCACTTCAGAAAAATCCTCTTCCAGGGATTTCTCAGGAGAGAACAAGGTTGGGCAGTTGCTGAGCCAAGGGTGGAAAGCTGAGGAGGAGGTGTCTGGGAGAAGTTGTTCCACCTTTCTCTGCCAGTTATTGATGCCTCAAATCTGGACTACTTTGGTAAACACATCTTCTGCCAGCTCCATCCATTCTGGTCAGCTTCCTGGCACTCACATTTGGGTAAATGTTCTCTTTGGAACAATCACTCGCACTTCCACACACGCTTCCTTAGATGGAGTTTTCACATTAAATCACTTAATAAGGTACATAAACTACACATTTTTAAAGATTATACAAAAATAAATACGTATTAATGCACACACACATGTTCAAGTGCATTTACTGGCCAAGAAACTTATCCAAACCCTGAAAATTTCAGTTTCTCCTTCTGCCTCTTGGGAACTGAAAGCTTAAATTAATTTTCAGGGCTCATTGGCTCCTTTATCCCAAGCCTCCATCTGCCTGCTAGCATTATCTTCCACCTTGTCTTCTGGGCTCAAGAGCAGCCTACATCAGAAGGGCAGATTTAACAACTCATAGTGGGCTGACACTTGCTGCCAAGCTCTCACTGTATCACTTGGGTTGCACATGCTGTTTAGATGGTGTCGGTGTCTTGGCAACATGCACTTGTGCACATAGCACACTGTGATGGCTTCCCACTAGGCTGCCATTTGTGTCCTAACAGCTTACACACATCAGGACAGGAAAAATGGAAAAGGCATCCTGACATCACCCTCTTCAAAGCAGGTCACAGGTGCAAGAATACTCTGATCACTCTCAATGATATTGCTGTGGGACCCACAGTAGTGGCAAAGACAAATGACTGCAGTATTTCATTGACCTATAGTGCAATTACTAGTTACACATGTAGATGTTAAAAGCACAAATTGATCTATTAAGAAGGAACCATGATTTTGACTCTGGATCTCATGTATTGGAAAAGGCCACCAATTTGTTAAAATACAGAACCATTTAGACACACTCATGTTTCTTCTGATAATGCTGTAGCTGCAGCTAGTAACAGCTTCTGTTACAAAGCTTCCTGATATTCTCTTCACTTTATTTTAAGTTTATAGTTTTCTAACTCTTTAGTTTCTTGCACCAACACCATATTTGCAGTGGGTACATCTCCAGGCTTTCCATGGTTGAAAATTTCAGCCCAAATGTTGCTGTCACTACAGAACACAGAAGCAGAGAAATTATAGTGTGCTTCCCTCTAAAAATACCACACTTCACAACAACGACTTGGAATTTAACATAGGAGAAATGTCAGGGAAAAACCCTCTGCTGTGGCCATAAATATAGTAACTTTCAAAAACCCATAGCTTGCAAATCCTCAAGATACTTAGATTATAGCACCTAAATTCACCACAGATTTTAATCAACGTAGCACTGAGTAACTTTTTTTTTTTTTTTTTTTTAAGTACAAAGTGGGAAATGCCTTAGATTAAACACAAAGGAAAGAAATATCAGACTTGTGACTCGGCACAAAGGGAAAAGCTTGTTCTGGCTATGAATCAGGAGTACATGGGAGAGGAAGCCACTGGATGAGAGAGGCTTGTTTCATGTGTGTGGAAGTTGAAAAGCAGCAGCAAGGCAGGGAACTGCATTGTGAAGAAGGTGCCATGACTAAGGGGGAACGGTACCGCCCTCTGACAGCTGAAATCTGCCTCTGTCCCTGGCCTCCCCTCTGTAGTTCCTAGGTGACAAAAGACAAGTTTGATAAATGAGCACTTTGCAGATGGCGATGACCCAGATACTCCTCAAATTCAGAAGCCTGACTTGTATTGTGGGTTCAATTCTGGTTTGCAAAACTGCTGAAGCTCCCAGCTGCCCCTGAGTATGAGCTCTGAACAGAGAAAGCTTGGTATTGCTCCAAGCACCATGAAATAGGTCAGGTTTCACAAACTGATCACTAAAATTAATGGAGTTCTTCACAACATACAAACATCTCTACTGTCCCAGTTCTCCCTCTGTAAAATACAAGCAATATTAACCCTACTACACCTCTCAGTGACATTGCAAAGAGTGATTTAACACTTGGAAAACAAGCTGTATTTAAAAAAAAGGGCAATTCTGTCCTCAAAAAGGAGCTTAAACAGCATCGTAAACCTATATAAGCTCAATCCAGACCTGTTCAGCTCGAGTTTCTTTACATTAGCCTACAGAAATATGGAATAGAGCTGTGCTAAGAAGAAGGCTGTCTGCAAAAGAACACATTGAAGAAGAGAGGCTATGAAAAAATCGTGCACGTTGGCATGTAACTCAACACCATACACTCTGCAAACACTCTTAAGTTTAGTGCTGGCAACTCTAATGTCTGACTTTTCAACCTCGATAATGTTCTTTGAATGTAGTAATTTTGGACATAACTGTAAATAATAAACAATAAAACCAACTAAAATTGCAAAAGAAAAAATATATAAAAACTATTAGAACTCCTCAGAACTCTAAGTCACAGAGGAAGTTGAAAAAGACTATAACAAATGACTCAAGATCAGTGGTGTCTCACTCTGCGGATGCTGGTGTCACAGCGACAACAAACCAAGCTGGTGTGACGGCAGCAGGCAGTAAGAGCCACACCTTCTTGGCTGACTTTCTTTACAAGGGGATCTCTGGGTCATTTTATTTCAGGCTTAATTCTGTTTAACCTGTGTCCATTATACTGGTATTGCCGAGCCTTGTTCCTTGACTCCCTCTTCTCCACAGAAAGTTGGAAAATGAAGTAACTGACCAAGGGCTAGGAATAGCCTTTTCTACAAAACAGAGATGATTCAAAAGATCATCAACTGAAGAGTTTGATTACTCCTGAACAAATAAGTATCTGTATCTTCTGAAATTCTACTTCTGTCAGCAGCTGCAAACATGTGGAAGTGAGAAAGCAAACAGCTCAAACACTGAGAATCAGTAACAGACCTCCTAAAACGGCAAGATGTGTTGACTTACCACAGTTGTGAGCAATGTTGGCTGCTGAGTAAGTAGTTTCAACTTTTAAAAAAGTATCCCTTCATAGCCACTCAGTAATAGAGCATTTCTTATGCCAAAACCTTTTTTTGTTTGTTTATGAAGATGAATCTAACCACAGAAGCTGGTTCTTATAAAATATTAAAAAAAACCTAGTGCAAATGCAGAGAAATTCAGAGTTGGCCCAATAACAAGAATCAATCATAAGAACTGAGCAGTCCAAAAAGAAATGCAAAATAAAGAGCAAGGATCAGTCCCCAGTAAAAAGAATACACAGGCATTTCTGAAAAATGACACAGAAATGGCTACTCTGGAGCACGTACCGAATTCCAGAGGGAATCCATGCAGATTTGCTATTTCCCTTGGGGTAAAGTACCTCAGTTTTAGTGTTGACAGTTTCATAAGCTTCTCTTCTTCTGCCAGCTCCTCGATGTGTTTAAACACTGATTCAAGCTACAAAGAATATCCAAAACAACAGATATCACTGAGGCAGGCAATATGTAAAATTTAACACTCACATCTTAACAGAACCCTACTATGATTATCGCAGTACCAAAGACAACAGTGTGTTTTGCTTGAAAGCGTGATTGGTGGTGCATTTTTGCGGCCAATATCTCAACACATGGGCTTGCAAGAAAGAAATTAATGTTGCCATGAGGGCATTCATTATTTCTTCCTTGAGTCACAAACTATACCAATACTTAATGAGGCAATCAAAGGACTACAAAAGCATTTGTTAATGGCAGGATAGTGACTACTATCATTCCATAGCAGACTATCCACACAAATTACACTGTATGGATGCAGCCGGTTTAGAACATTTGCTTTGAGATTACCCTGCATTCCAAAGCTGCATTCTTCTCAGGCTTAGAAATGCCATATAATATTTGTGAATAGCACAGAAGCGCAGAAGTAGGTGCCTGTGTACAAAACAGACTTTGTGAATAGTATGTCTGAATGACGATTCATTGATACATTTATTTTTACCTTCCCTAATGACAAAATACCACTTTGTGGTGAACTCAATATCAACAGCAGAACTTTTCAAAATACCTGTTTTCCCAGATAAATAATACTTTTGCAATTCAAACATGTCAAACACTTAACAATATTTACTGGATGATCTCTGTACAAAAAAATGGCCCTAGAATCACAACACTCTAAAGTAGTTTATCCATAACTAGTCATTTTCAGCGTTTTCACATATCCCTGTGAAATCTCTGCGTGACACTACAGATAATAAAATAATAGCAACTGATATTCTCCACAGAGTGACACAAATATATACTATTCATTTAAATAAACCACTGCTTTGGAATGCAAAGTAAAAGAATTTGAAATTCAGTTGCCACAAAATGTAGTTTTAAAAGCTTTTTTGTTATAACATTCAGGATAACAAAGCAGGAGACAGAAAAAAAAAAGTTTTAAACCAAGTCATTCTCATGTTAGTCTACACATGCTTACCTGTACATCTTCTGCTGTCTGCAGAACTGAGCCTGTCCCTTCTACATAGTGGCCATACCTTAACAATAACAATATCAATCTTAAGTCAGTATTATCACCAGACCTAACAGTATTGACAACTGCAAAGATACAGGGAAGTTACTGAGATTCTTTTGCTTAACAAATAGCCTCCTGGACAGATAAAGCAAATGGCCTTGTTGGCCTATAGACAATGCCAACCCGTGAAGTGCAGTAGCCTCTGAACACGCTCTCTAGGGATGAGTCTGCAACCAACACAAAGGTTTATCCATGCTAATGCCTTTCATAAAGCAACATATGAGGCCAAGGAATTCAAGCATAGCATCATCAGAAGGGGCCATCTCCATTGCACAAACCAATTTTACATTAAGGCAAGATGTGTGAAAGGCCAGATGGTCCTAGGGGTTCAAACCATCTCTCTGTATTCAAAGAAAGATGATTAGTGTGAGCCTCCAGCTTTGCTAACAATCCATTAGCAACAAAGTGGTTTAGTCAGGTTTAACTTTTGGTTGCTTGTGGCTTTTCCACAAAGGGAAGGGATAGGGGATGGTCAGGCATCTATGCAGAGGAGAGAAAGAGAGAGAGAGAGAAAGAGCGTGAGAGAGAGAAAGAGCGTGAGAGAGAGAAAGAGAGCGAGAGAGAAAGAGCGCGAGAGAAAGAGCGTGAGAGAGACCAAATCCAACAAAAGAGTAAGCAAACTTACATTTTAAAACCATATGACAGCTTTTTTGGATGCTTTGTGGTTGATTGCCTAACATGTAATTTGCAGTCTCTCCCAGGCTATCATTTAATACAATTATGGGCTTTCAGAAATATGCCCTGCTAGTCTAACTGTGACAGTGTTTGAACATCCTGAGCAGGAGAGTGAGTCAAGTCAGAAGGTGGCTTTTGCCTCCTTTGCAGGAATCCTTGCATTGCAGGGACGTGGTCTGCATCAGCCCTTAGCAGATTCTATTTTCTAGTTTTACCTGCACATCCATAAACACAGTTATAAATGTCTTTTGCTCCACTTGGGGCCCATTCTAAAGCAAGGCACTGGAACAATATCCATTTCAAGCCTTCCTATTTCCACCATAAATAAAGGAAGAGTCTCCCTTCAGCACACGCACAAGGACCCAGCATGGCTCAATCTTGAGCATTTCGTCTGCAGTTGGAAAAGCTTATGAGTAGTTCTGCCAATGTCAGTGACAGCAACACTCATTTTAAAATAAAGGGCTTGCAAATCTTCCTCAGGATCAGAACAAAAGGTGCTGAGAGCCGATGCAGATTAGAAATACATCGGATAGAACTGTGCTGGAAATTGTTAAACTTTTTGCTTTTTCAGAATGCAATGTAACACACAGCACTGAGAAATTCAGTTATCATCTTATATAGCATCTGATCATATTTCAGACAAATGTATCTGTGCCAAAATAAATTAATGAGGATAGATTTCAAAGTAATATTTCAGTTTTATTGGGGGAAATAATCTTTTAATAGGATCCATGTTATATAAAATACTGCTAGTCCAAATAATAGCCACTAGAGAACAGAACTCCTCAAAAGACAAAAACCTGTTGATGAAAAAATGGTCTGAGTGCTGGGGGGAGTTGTTTTTTTTAACACAAATGCTAACATCGGCCATCTGCCCATTAGATTGTTATTAATTATTATTGCAGCTGCTGACTATAGAAAAATTAACATTCCTACCTTCAAATGTAATTAAAGATGGAAATTCATGCCACATTAAAAAAACAATGCATTGATTATCTGCCATTTCACTACCAGTTATAATAACAGAAGTTGGCTTAAGGAATTACAGTCTTCAATTTTCATCTGAGTCAAGATTCTTCTTCACCCTCTCTTTATTTCTGTAAGCTTTAAAAAAATCCTTTAATTTCATACATATATTATTTCTGGGCATATTGTGTATATCAGGAATTTTCAAGTAACACTGGACTGATTATATCTAAAGGAGGAGTTTACATTTGCTTGGTCCTTTAAAATGCACAATTTCCTCTCACAACTTCATCCACTACAAACATAACCCTGAGAGAAACCATGGTGTATGTAGTTTCAAGGAACTCAGCAATCATTTCCCAATTGCCTAAGAGTCCAAGGTCAGAAGGGAACACAGGATCATCTGCTCAAACCCTTGTGCATAACAGGCCATTACATTTTGTCCTGTACTCCACCAAAGCCTTTCAGAAGACATGCTGGTAAGACAAAAGCAGAAAGGCAAAAAACACTGATGAAATATTAGTGTTCGAGGTCCATGAATTAGCAAGGACTGGAGAAGGAAAACCTGGACTACCCTCATCACATAAATCCTGCTGGAAATACCTGAAGACCAACCAGAACAGAGGGAAACTTTCCTCCCAGTCTCAAAGCCAATGATCAGATGACTTTTAAGAAAGGCACCAGACAGACATCTTAGCAGAGGGATTCTTTGTACTAGCTGGAGTGTTGCTCTTCCCCATTCAGAGTCCTCTTTCCTATCTATCGTGCTTGAGAGAAACATAAAACCATAACTCCTAGAACACATACAGCAGCACTTTATTCTTGGCCTCAGAAAGTGATGGACTGGATGGGGCCTGAGGTGTAATGATATTCCTTCTCTTATTGCAGAGCTGTAAATGTTATGACCACACTGAGAATCAGGTCGGAAACCTTCCTTCCCAAAGGTTCTTAAAGAAAGGCAACAAAGACAGCACATCAGATCGTTTTAAGCCAAGAACTACCACAGCTATCTGGGCTGGCTCCTTCCACATCAGCAGAAGGACAACAGTGATGTTCCACTGCAGATTTTATACAAAGACTTCACATTAACTACTCAGGAGCCTCCTTCAGTATGACTTTGATAAACATTGACCACAAACTACCATGACGAGTTCTAGTGAAACCACAAGTGGCCAATTTATTTTTTATGACACTTAAGGCATAAAGCAGATATATAAGACATCATTTTGGTCTAAGGTATTTATCTGACTACACCAGTTAAGAAACAGATCCCACAAGAAGCTGACTCTGGCACAACTCAAAGAGTGAGGGGGGGGGAAAAAAGTGTGTCAATGAGAGCCGGGGGAAGGGCTTTCCTGTTACACAAATTCTGAATGTTTCAAATTCTTTCTCTTCTCAGCTTTTTTACTGTCAAAAAGTTGAAATCACAAAATCTGGAGGAGCTCTGTCAATCTGGAATTCTAATTTCTACTAACAGAAAAAAAAATAATTAGCTTTAGCTCACCAACTACACCGTGTTATTAGAACATACTGAGAAGTAAAAGAAAAACTCTAATTTGAAAAATTCACTGATGTTAATATTTCCCACAAACTTCCAGGCTCTAACTGGCATTTTCCAGTACAAAAGCATTCAGTGGAAAAGCTCCTCACTGGTTGTCTGTGAGGTCTCAGAATACTCAACAACCTCCAGCAGTCAAAATTGCAAAGTACAAATCACAAAATGACTAGACAGAAAAGCGCTGATATTCTGCTCCATCACACATAATTTCAAATGCAGCAACCTAACTGTTTTTATGACACGTTGCCAATCTACAGCTATTCTGACCTACAGAGCTGAAAAATCTAAGAAATCAATAAAATGTACAGTGGAGGCAGTTTTAATGAGGAACAGCTCTGTCATGCATGACACTTTGTAACTTAATTGAGCAATATAAAAAAATTCATTAATGAATCAGTACTATACCAGTCTACTGGAACCATATTTCCGCAGGGGTAATGAAGCTTTTGTGAAGGTCAACAACGAATGGCCTTGTCTTTTGTGAGAGTCTTTTTTGGAGGGGGCACATGATGTTTTGCCAGACAGATTCTCCTCTTAGCATTCCAGGAAGCACACTATATAAGGGGCTTTTTTTTTTTTTTTCAGATACCTCTGTCTTTTTTGATGAAATGACTCTCCTTGTTATTACAGTACACGAGCAATAAACACACCTAAAATTTCAGGACATGATTCAGCAAGACATTTTCTGTGCAACTTACCCTTTTGTAAAGCACGTGGATCTCCGGCAGGTGGGTTTAACAATGTCTAACAAGAACGCGTAGCGCAGTAAGGACTTTGGTGGTAAGAAATACTGACTCATTTCTTCATTTTCCTCTTCCAAGAAATCTTTTAGCATTCGAATAGAGGTATCATTGTTCTGACCATGTTTCCTTTCCATTTCTTCTACTGTTTCAAGCTTAAAAAGAAAAGCCCCTTCTGGTAAACTCTTTTTGCTGCTGCAGTCAGGAGCAATGTTTGGATGCAGATTCTTTTCTTCAGAACACAAGGAAGAACTTGCTTCGCCCATTTTGTCAGCAACTTTGTCCTTGGATAAGTCTTCTAGATCCTGATCAGGGAATCCTGTCAAAATCTAGGACCAAAATGTGAGAAAAAAAATAAAGAACTGCAACTAATAAACGACTTGACAGCAGTCTGCAAGGAGCACAAATTCTTTCAGAGATGTTCCGAATAAAGCAAGTAAGCATTCAATGTTGTTTTCATGAAGATTTAAAAAAATGTGAGCATCAAGTTTTGCTGACCTGCCAGCAATCATGTCAGAAATAACTGCAAATAAAGGCTTTTGCAAAAAGACCCCTTTCCAATGGTGTGAAAAAGGTGGCAGAATGTGATGTTTTCTAGCCCACTATCAGCCACTGTCCCCCAAACGCTTAAAGCCACCTAAGGCAGTAGCCTGCATTTCAGTCCTCAGAAAAGTCAGGATCTAGACTGAAAAAAAAGAGACAGAACTTTGAATTTTTCTGGTGATATCACTTAGCCATCTCTCCATTCACCAACACACACAACTAAACTGAAAATTTAATGCTCAGTCTCCAGGAAACAAAGCACTAACAAACTCACCTGATCAGTAGATTGAAAGGAAAATGGTTCTTTGTGTAGCTTTGCAATGAGAAAATATCGCAGTCTAGAATTGGGAATGCCAAGCTGTAAGCAAAATCCACAAGCCTTTACTCCATGTGATAAAGAGAGGAAAAAGTGCCCTATCATGTCATACAAATTATCTACCATTATATACATAATAGAACTATTCCACACTAATATATAACCTAAACACTTGTAACTTCCATGCCTAGCTATTTTCAAGGAAACAAGTGGACAACTATTCTTTGTGCCTAAGGGTTTTTACTTTCTCTGTAAATGAACAGGAATGTAAACAAACTTTTATGTGAGGTAAGAAGAATGGCATGCAGCATGATTTCTTGGGAATGTTACTAAGTGTTTTTTATAAGAAAAGCAAAGAGGCATCTCCTTGCCTTCTTGAACAAGAAACTGTAAGACAGTTCCTAGTTTTGAAGCTACCCTGTATCAGCTTCTCTCAGATATACACAGCACTTCACTGATTCCATTAGTCTCGTGCCATAGGAAACCTCCACATTTTTTTCAGTTGCCAGGGAAATGTGCAAACAAAGCCCCTCCTCCCACAAATGACACAGTCACATTTTCTGTGCTGGAAAATTCACAGGCATCAGCACTTCTGAAGCAGTGAGGCTCCAGCAGGGAAAACCACCTTCCTGGTCACAGTGTAAATTCATGCTTTCCTGAAAAATGCCACATGCTTGCAGGGCAACATGGGGCTAGGATCTGAACAATAACAGCAGTACGATTATGCCAGCATACTGATGAGAAATCAGAAGTCATGCCAGATGGTTTTCCCATTCAGAAGAGTATCTTCAGGTCTAGGCATGAATCTGCTCTGACACAACAGACCATTTTCAAATGTGCTTGGGCTCAGTGCAGTTTGAACAGGTAAAATAATATTACAACAATTTTAGTACTCACACAGGTAGGAGACAAGAGAAATTCTTGATATTTAAATCCACATGTTTCTAGTGTTCGCAGAAGTTCATTTCTGGCAGTGAAAAGAATCAAAAAGCAATTACTGCCTTCATAAAATCTTAAGGCCCTGTTTATTCTAAATAAAAACAAATTAAATTTAACACCTTAGGTACCAAGACATTCAGCAAAAGAATTGGACAGGGAATTACAGACACAAAGTCTCCCATTTCTAAGCTTGAGGATGCAACATGCAGTTCAGGGTTATTGTACCCAGAAATGACTAGTACACACTCACAGGTATCACACACCTACTTTGGTGCAAACATCCCTTCAAAAAAAATCCCATCTCTACGAGAGCACCTATGGTGCATCAATGAGGAAAATAATCAGAGGGGAAGACGTGATCTTTATTATGAATTATAAAACAGGAGATTAAAAACACCATAAATAGATCACTACTGTAGTTCACATACACGGCATCAGCTAAGCCTAATAAAGGAGCTAACACAATGGATGACAAAAACTGGTAGCTTTGATAATAACAGTGAGGTGGAACTGTACTATAAACAATGGAAAAATCACTGAAATGGAATTTTATTTTTAAAAGACTTGTCTTTTCTATTCCATGCAGACTGCACGAGGCGGGAACTATATAAACAGCTGGAGATGTGACCTGCCCGTGGCCACGTACGTGACACTGCATCCCAAGTGTCGCAAGCGTTCTGACTGGGGCGTTTCCTGACCTACAACTTGTTCCAAACCCTGGCCAGCAAGGCACAGCCTAGAGGACCACAGGGTCTACAGCAGCAGCCTCCATCTCCACCAAAGTGTGCAAATGTTCACAGAAGACTTAGAAATACAGAATCATTACGGCTGGAAGAGTGATCTAAGATCATCAAGTCCAACCATCACCCAACACTACCACGACCATTAAACCATGCCCCCAGGTGCCACATCTACATGTTTTTTGAACACCTCAAAAAACTCAAACACCTCAAACACTTTGTGTTTTAAAGAATCTTTCTCTATTCCAGCCAGAAACGAGCAGGAAGATTACAAGCCCCTATTCCCTGCTTTGCCCACAGGAGAGGGGAATGCCCTTGCTGCCATCAGGTAAGCTTACCAACAACTTTCCTCCTCCGTATTTTAGACAAGGATTATATACAGTCTTCACACTGTATCTCTGGACCATCTGATGGCAACACTGAACCAGTGATAACCTATGACTAACAAAGGTACTGAAGAAAGCCCCTCTACTGTACTGTGATCTTAACGCAAGATACCATGAGCTGCCATCATGGATAAAACCCCCAAACCTCCAAGTGATATACCTATTGTTATTCTTTTCTGAAAATGAATATTGACCCTTTCTACAGGACACAGGATCAGCAAATAAAATCAGTGGAGGCCAGTTGCTAGAGCATATTTTATCTTTGAGAAATAAAGCAAGTTTCTTTCACAACCTAAGATGTTCATGCCTAAATTAAAACAGTATTTTCAGCTCACAGATGCTAGCTGTCCCATCTTACCCTGTGTTGCTAACTTGAATTCTAGGAAATAAAAATCCTGCCTTCCCATTCTAGAAAATACATCCTTTATTAAAAACTAAACCCTATAGAAATTAGACTTTACCTTGCCGAAGAGGATTCAAATCCTTTGACGTTTTCTAAAAGTAGGTATTTTGGAAGCTTCTGGAGCCTACAAAGGAAAAAAAAAAAGATCAACAAATCAGAGTAAGAAGACATAAGGTACATTATATTCATCCACAGATTTGTTTAGCTCCAAGAAAGATCTAAGTATTTCTACATCATGCTAGCTGTTAAAGTTTAGCATCCTTAAGAAAACATACCTCAACTTTCAAGTTTGCCTAGATAGAATCACTCCCAACTAAATAAAAAAAGTGGACTGCTGGTAATTATAAAAACAACAAAAACTACTTAAATTCAGATGGACTGCTGTATTCTCCTGTACCCCATGCATGCAATTCCGAAAATGTTTAACTCTGTTAATTTCCTAAAACATATTATTTTGATAGGAAAAATCATTGTTAGGGCCAAGAGATCACTGTTTAGTCATGGAACAGAAAATTTTTGTTTTAAAGTGCCCAAACCTTAAATCAATGTCAAAATGCAACATCAGCTGTAGTGATAACACATCAGAACCAGTATTCATCTAATTGCTTTAAGAAATACAACATGTTTAGAGCTCAAACTGCAGATATTCTGTTTTGTATAATTAACTTTTTCATTTTGATGGGGGAGAGGTGAAGGAGGCACCCAAGATTTAGCAAAATTAGTGTACGGGTCTGAAAAAATGCTCGTTCTAAAACCAGCCTAGTAAATCTCCAAAGAAGGGAGCATGCCTACATTGTGCCAGGGACCATTCAAACAATTTAGAAGCACAGATAATCCAGATTCAAATTTCTGGGAATGTTCCCTGGCACTAATTAATTCCCTAGTACAGCTAATGTAGACATAGTATGCCTGTCACACACTGGGATCTCAGAACAGGGTACTAATGTCCCCAGACAGTAGCCGCATCCTTATTTAAGTTAGTAAGTGACTCTGGACCTCCACTGGTACAAATCACAGCAGAATTTGCTTTAGCACATTCTTAACTAACATCAATTAAAGACACTCATATGAAGAATTAAAAACCTAAAGCTTTTCACAACAAATGGAAAAATACGCAAGATACTACATCAAACTTGAAAATACAAACAATAATAGTGGAATAAAAAACAAACCCTAAACTGAAAAATGCAGCAGCAACCAAATTCCCCACAGAGGAATGGAGAATGTCTCTGTTGTTGTTTACTCACACTCAGCAACATCATCGTCTACTACAAAACTTATTTTTAAAGTAATGAATCCAGAGCACAGCCTGAAATACAAGAGCCCATGCAGGATCAACAGATCACAAGACAAGTAATCACTTCACAAAGACTATGTGTTAAGTACTTGGCAGGTATTAACATTACGAATGTGTCTGTAGAAAGTAGAACTTTGACATCTTAGCATTAATTTTCCCTGGGTTATGGCTTGGACACAATAAACAAGAGGGTATCCAGACCATTTGGGTTAGACTTCATTGCTGGCTGGATGCTCCAAGGATTTCCCAGGTCCTTCCAGATCTTGAAACTGTTCTTTCTGTATCTCTAAAATTTGTCTTCCCAGGCTATCTTTCAGCCTCATTTCAACAACATTTCATTATAGAAGGCTGAATATAAGGTACAGACAGCCAAAGGACAAGAAATTATTTATAGTTTCCATAAAAAAAAGGCATGCCATACCAATTCAGAATGCAAAGTACTAATTCCTGTTTTAAGAATTTCCCTTTTTTGGGCTGAAACACTCCATACTCAATGTCTGGCAAACATGTCACATCCAAAAAAATATAAAACCACTATCTCAGGAAAACATAGATCTACTGGAACTGAGAAACTCTGTAGAAGCCACCATCTTGAACATATTACAGACTGCTTAAAGCAAGGGAGATAAGGGACATGAGCAGAGTCTCATGGGGTGCTGAGATAAAGTGACTCAGCCAAGCCCAGCCCCTTTGCATCGTCATGCTGAAAAACATAGGTCCTGCAGTATCTGAAGCTCTGGTTTTGAGAAGGAAAAGCTTCTGCCCTTTATCCAGCTAAGGCAAAAGCAACCAGGAAGCAACATTTCCATATTAATTCACAACAGTGTCCCAAAAGCAGTCAGCCTCTTAATTATGTCTCAGTTTAATGGAAAGGAATATTGAGGTCAAGATTCCCTTCAAGACAAGGAAGGACCTATTATTTTGACAAATTATTAACTTACACACTATCTGCTGTTTTTAATTTACCATTTTGAAAGGTCTGTCCAGAGGACTGAGTTACACACCTTGTTCCAGAAAACACATCCTTTACAGCTTTTGGAAATCCACATTATTTTTGTGTCTGCTAGAAGCGGGGGAGTAATAATAATCTTACTTTTTACCTATTAATTGTCTAACTTACTAGGCTACAGAGTCTGTATTGTGTTCTGTGTTCTCTGCCAGACTCCTTAGCAGATCCCAGCCAAGCCACTCAGCCCTTCTGTGTCTGGGTTCTCTATCTGCTGACGACAAGGGCAAAGAGGTTGTCCCATTTGATTTTGCTGGCTGCAAAAACATTGTTTCTGGAAGAGGGATGAAGACCTTTTTCTCACAGTATTAACAGCAGCTTGAAAGAGAGGTGATTGTCGTTGTTATCAGGTTTCCTCTATGCAGAAAGTATTAATTAAAAAAAACCCACAACCAAACACCAAAAAACACACCAACAAAAAAACCCCAAAGAGACAGTCAAACCTTCCTTCATCCTCCTCCAGTTCTGAAAGCAGGAGTAACCAATAAAGGAACATAAAGAGAACAGCTGTCCCAGTCTCCAGCAGAAGCAGGACTGGCAGGAATCGTTGTCTGGTGGACCGTAACTGACGCAAATTCTCAACTCATGCCGATTGGTACCCAAAGGACACCTCAGTCCAGAAGCAAAGATTTCTGCTGGATAGTCTCCCTGAGCAACTGCTTGCTCCACTTCCCCAGGAAGCGTTCCTACAGCGCTACGCATCTCTTCCGAAAAAAGATTACAAGCACTACTTGGAGTTGATTTTTAACACTCAGTAAAGAACAATATAGGTCAGAAAAACCTACTTTGGATTTACTGTTCCAAAACTAAGACAGAAATAATACAAATAATTATGGGTACTTCATTAGCAAGTGGGGTCTGACCGGGCAGAAGTGGCAGATCAATACACAGACAAGGCCACTTCAGACGATGCAGTGCCATCTGAATCCTTTAGTATTACTACTTAAAACAAGAGACTGTCCCACAAACCAGAATTTGACAGAACAGACACTTAAAGGAAGAATGGGAAGGGACAGAAGATGTATTGTGCAGTCAAAAACATATTTAAACTTTCAAACATTACTTATTCAAAAAGTGACTAAATTTTGAATCAAAGCTTTTTATAAGCTGGTATGCCCATTACCAAACTACTATATTACATACTCCTGCTGCTACATAAAGTCAGTGCAAGTTGAGGTTGAACTGCAAAGAACTCTTTTTTTTTCGTTTATGATATAGCCACAGTTTAAACAGACACATTAAAAAGAAACCCAAGTAATGAAAGCATATACAATAACTATGAGATAATGGCATTAGTAAAACACAAGTATTTATAAGTTACATATGATCATGTGAAAACAAACAAGTAATACAACACAACACTAGTAGTATCTCTGTAAAACATTATAGAAGACTTGTCTCCCTAAAATATAAAAGGCTTATTTAGTTAAAACAAAGGCTTAAGAATTGCGGTGGAATTTCATTTATACCTTGGGAGAACATCAAGGATATAGAGAAAGCTCTTTGCCCGTGGATCGGATACATCACCTTGCAGGCCAGTTCTAAGAAAGAATAAACACACATCTGTACATCACTCAGAGCAGACTGACATTTGACTTACATTTTTCTATAAAACACTGACACTTTTTGATTTAGTTCAGAAAAGGATTCTGCAAGAGCATCGTGTATAGACATGAAGACCTGCTCACAGAGGCAGCATCCTAAGAAATGCTGTAGGGAATGAAAGTCTGCCACTGGAGTCCATCAGCTCACTGCAAGGTTAGAATTTAAGCATTCAGCAATGAAATCTACTCCCCAGTCTGCAAAGCATTTAGCATTCTGGTCTTGCACAGCAAACCCCTTGAACATACTTGGCTCTGAAAGAATAAAGAAGGCCTGGGTTCCTGGGAATACCCTGCTATTTTACATTGAATATATTAAATAATTTCCATGAATAAAGTCTCAGTGCTCCCTGTGTTGCAAGACTGAGCCCCACGGGAATGACATTGTAACCAAGTTTGTAACATTAAACTAGACAGTTCAAGTCGGTGATAAAAATGGTAACACAACAGAAGGGTTCTAGGCCTCTGCTCCCCTAACTTACACTTGTATTAGCTTGTAAAAAAAAGAATAAAGCCTTAGGAAAAGAGCATTAGCATGTCTCTAAACAGATTAGTCATACACAGGGTTTCCTTTTCACCCTATTATTAAAAAAAATGTTGAAGGAAATGTTCCTATACACATCATAGTTTGCACAAATAGACCGGCATCACTTTGGAGGGATTTGTTTTTAATCTTAGGGCATTTGATGAGATATACTTTCTTACTCAAGCAGTTCTGTCACCATCAACAGCCTTTCATGAAGTGAAGCACACTTTGCATGAGCTACTACTAGGATCTTACCTCTATGGGTCACTGCTGTCGATTGACATGAATTTGAAGCTAATCTGACAACATCTCAGTAAATTCAGCTCCCAATCAGCTATATATTTTTCTGTATCACCCATCATTTCAAAGCCATTATCCTCCTAGACTTGGCTAAAATAGAAATATTCCTCAGAACAAACTATTTGTGTGCATGTGTAATTTTCAAACTACAAATAAAACCAGACTGCACTCTTGGTCTCAGTCAGAACTGAGAAATTTCAGATCCAACTTCTGGAGTTGCTCCAGGAAAAGATTAGACTGATATCTAAAGGGAAAGAAAGGAAAGGAAGTACTCCTAAACAGCAAAATCTCTGAATGTCACTGTTGGAACAACAATGCAGTATCCAAAATCAGTGCTGTAAAAAGCTTAATTTAAACTGAATTGAAATATATATTAGAAGAAATGTGACCAATACTTAAGATTCAAATTGCTGCATTTCTTCTACTTCAGTAAACATCATGGTGTACAGAGCTATAACGTTTTTGCTTAGGAAAACAAAGATGCACAAATGAATCACACAGTCCCTCTTGAAAATATTTCTCCTTTAACAGGATGTGCCATAAAAACTGCAGTTTTCTCCAAAGTGTGCTGTATCTACCTTGTAAATGGCTGACAGGGAGGACTCATCAAAATCATATCAAAAGATAAACTGTCAAATTCTTTCAGTGTTATGCCCTGAATAAGAAAAAAAAAACAGAAGAATGTTGAGTGTTGTACACTACATGAAACTCTTAAGTGATCTTTCAGACCAAATAACCCCTCCTGCTTCCACTATATGCTTCACCTAGCAAAAAAACCTACCTAATCTCCCATTTGACCTCATAATTTCAATCTTTTCTACTTTGGCAAACCAAACCATACAATGCAAATATGTATTAAGTGCTTTAAATATAAATCCAAATCACTAAGGATTTTAGCATCTACATGTAATCTTGGGGTTTTTATCTGCTCATTCTTTCAGAGGAGGTGTGCAGTAATTTCTTTCAGTAGATCACATCAAAATACTGACTAGTTATTTCTCCCCTTCCCTCCTTCAAATAAAGTATCATTATTCAGATATGAAGTCTTTATACATCAAAAAACAATACTAACATATTCAAAACAGGTGAAAAAATATGGGGTCTTCTCAAAAGACAAAACATCTGAACAGGTAAGTAACTCAAGTGTTACTATCATAATTTTTACAAGTCCAAACTGTGTGTTTTCTCTCTTAGAAGGTCACTATCAACACTAGTATAAAGTTTACTTCATTCTAGCTTTCATCCAGTAAAAATTCCTCAAAGATATTATATGGCTGAAAGCTCTACTCTGCAAAAATATTTCTGTTCAGAGAAGAAAGAATTAGGCCTGTGGCATGAACTGGAGAGATAGAAGTACCTCTAAACTAAATTTTAACCAGCGCTACAATGACAACATATTAAGGGGCCAAGAGAAGAGAAGGATAATTATTAAGTAAACATTAGTTGGACTAAGAAATCACTACCTTACATATTTTGAGGGATATCTATATAGCAAATGTAATATAACTGCCCACAGAAACTGGGCAAAAGCTGGTGCTTTTTCTCAAAATATTTAAATAAGTTCTTACTGACTGTAATCTGCTCTTATCTACTATACAGAACCATAGGCAAGCATTCTTTTCTTTTCCCATACAAAACTGTAAACTACCATGTAGCCCGTTATTATTGGGTGCTGACTAAGCAGTTAACCTTTAGCCACCTATTGAATTCTTACTTAATCTGGTGTATTAAATTCAGTATCTTTTACTGTCATGTTGTAAAACTGTAAAAGAAGATTAAGTAGTACACAGTAATTTCTAACTAAATCTAGGCAAAATAACATGCCTAGTTTGCCCCTCAATTATTAGAACATAAGCCAACTTTACCTAGTTGTTCTTCATTTGAAGAAGGAAAAGGAGCAGAATTCCTAAACATTTGATGTACTGAGCACACAAAAATATGCAAGACTGTCCCACCCAGTATATTCTTGTGTTTTACTGAGCTCAACTACAACTACAAAATGAAGACATGTCTCCAAGTAGCTTAATTAAATTCTTTCAAAATACATGAAAACATTTTTGTTAGTCTAAAAAGATTATTTTTTTCATTCCTTTATCAGTAGTAGGCATTCTTCTTGACATTCACATAACTTTTCTTGATGCAGCACTCAAGACTTTCAGGAAAAGACTACAGTGTAAATATCCCTCTCACTTCAACAGGCAACCACAGCACAAGAAATCAAAGTTTCATAAAACTGCTATATTCATAACAACATAAATTAAATTTTTGTTTCTCTTGTTACTAATAAGGATAGCACAGACAATTTACTTATACAAATGCCAGACTAGAATTAAAAAGACACCTGCTACTCACCTCAATTGTCTTTGCCCATAATGGCGTGCTGGGAAAGTTGTACCTATAAACTTCGTTGGCAAGAGTGTTCACATCAACAGCAGCAACAACTTCTGCAGATGGGCAGCTTTCTAAAATTAAAGAAGAATCTGAAAATTGTAGTTTCTCCTTACTATTCCTTGACAAATGCATCTGTTCAGCTGCACTCAAAAATAAAAGGGAAAAGGGAAATTGCATCATCAAACTCTGCTGCGTTGCCTTTAAGACTTTTTGAAAAATATACTGTGTTTCTAATCATATGGCAAATACGTCCCTTCCTTATATATCCAAAACCAGAAGCTAACTGCACACTTCTCAATTTGTAGATAGTGTCACACAAACTCCAAACAGGGCATGTCTCTACAAAGTTCCCACTACACTCAGCTGGTCTCTGTGGCCATGAAGTTGCTTAGCTGAGGAACTCAGCCAGAGACAACCTGACCTGCCAAGTCCCCCTGCCACTCCCTGAGCCTCTCCAGCCACCGACAACTTGCAGGAACTAAACGTGTTATTTTAGAAGTATACTACTCCTCATTGTGAAAAAAATGGTATCAATAAATATGTTTGAGGTACATCTACTCTTAAAATAAAACTTCAAGAAGTTGCCTGAAAAACATTTGTGCTTATATTCCAAAAAACCTTGGGCCTTGAACCCAAAATCTGCCTCCTTTAGGTTCAAGGTCCCCAATACACCACACTCTTTGAAGCACAACACTTAGCTTCTCTTCTTCTCCTGGTATCAAAAGAAGTGTTTCTGGGCACTTAGAGGTGTTACGAAAAGAAGAGAGCAAAGTGTAACAAAACTACTACAGCTAAAAAAAAACTACAGCTAAAAGCCTGAAAGAAAAATACATAAAAAAGAAGGTAAATAAGCAATGGTTAATTTATAGAGTAACAAAATGAGAGGTTCTACAGCAGCTAAGGACATAAAAAGAACAGTGTTTAATCCACTGCTCATTGTGTCACACTGTTTATTACTACTAACCACAATGCCTTCACCGAGGCTTTTTCTCCAGGAAGACGGGCTGCGGTCACTGCTGCAGCCACAGGCAGAAAACAGACTGCACCTGACATACAGGAGCAGCTTCAACCAACAGGAAAGCCACATTCAGGCCACTACTACAAAGCCCCAGATGAAAAACTCACTACGATGTGTTCAGTGGATTTAATTTTGAGTGATGTAGTTATTGCCCATCTCCTGTCTTTCAGGTTTTCAAGGGTATCATATTCAAAACTAAGATGGAAAAGAAATCCAGGTGTTGGAAAGACTGTAGCAAACATTTTAATAGAACAGCCTGGTTCTCCGGGGTTTACTTGGTACAATACAGGGCAAAAGAATAAGGGTTTCTCGAGATTTACAGATGTTTGCTCATCAAGGGTCAACATACAAGTCAATGTTGGCACTTACTGTCTTGAAATTTTGGCCACAAATTGTAACTCGAGCATTCAATACAGGTGTATCCACCAGGACAACACGGTGACTACACCCCAGGTTACAGAACAGGTATGTTAACACTGACACCTAGTGTGAAAAGAACATCACCTTAGCAGGTTGACTCTCAATTTACAAGCATATTCAAGAACCAGCACCTTCATCCTCCCAAAACAAAGCTGTAATAACTAAATAATGGGAACAAATTTCAAGTACTGTTTAAGAGACTCCTTTTTTAATTTATTCTTTCAGCTCTTAAAAGATGTTGCCCTGACAAGCTGATCCTTCCTGTGTGTTCCAGGCACCACAAAAGGAGGAGAAAAGAAAAAAAAACAACAATAAACCCAAAGAACCTCAAATTACTATCTAAACTAACATAGATTTAAAATGACAGGTGGAAGACAGGCAGTGTGCTTTCTCTCACAGCTCACAATTCAGATGCTCATCCCTTTTACGAGCATAAATCAAATCTCTCCCCACATACATAAAAAAAAGAAAGAGAAATGCTGAGGAATTGCATCAACAGACTTCACAGGCCCAAATTCCCAGAAATACTAAAAGAGAGCATATAGCTAATAGCAGTTTATTGAATCCCCTTGCAATACAGTGTTCAGTCTAAACCAGAGCAGCTGTTAACAAACAAGGAAAAGGGCCAGGAACTTTTCCTGAACTAAGCCACCCAACATCCTCTCTTCCCAATTCAAAGACCTGATAATTTTTTTCAAAGCTTTTCCTCCTTTACACTCAAAAGCTGTAGCTCATTTGGGAGTTCCTGATACAGAACAGACTCCCTCCAAAAGCTGATTAAGCATATTTGTGTGGAAATACCCTGGAAACACATGAAGGAGCTCGAGCAGACAAGCAGATCTCACACAACCTAACAAAGAAAAGCTTGTGTAAATTTCAAACAATGTGAAAATCAAACATTTTTTAAGGGCTTCTCCTCACGAAATTTAAATAATTTCGATGTCAAAATGTGATACCCCATTTTGCTACAGCAATTACATTTATTATTTCAAAAATACTGTAGAATCATAACTATGCTTAACTATCCCCACTGACAAAAGCCACAAAAGCAACTCAGGAATATGAAAATACCCCTGAACTGCTCACTTAGTAAGATGCTAAATCAGCTCCCCAAAATATATATCCAGAACTTCAATAAAGAAACAGATTGGAATAACTCTGGAAACTTTTTTTTTTTTTCAAACAAGGACATTCAATTTTCAAAAACAGTCATTTAAGAATTATTACTACGCAGAAAACAATTTCATTTTATGCAGACTAAAGGAAAAAAAAACAGACATTTTCTAAGTGAAAGTAAGTAGCTGCTGGAATACTTGATTTGCAATATTCCTCAACACCACAGTTCTTGAACTAAGACTTCACGTTTCTGAAAAAGATGTAGCTCAAAAAGAAACCACAGACATGATAGGGAAGTTACTAATGGAGGTATTATGTCTTATTTTTAGACAGACTAGATTATAATACTCTCTCCTGGCTGAAAGCAGGTGAACTTAGATTTGTATCATCCTTCTAGGAAAACACTGCTTTTGTACTTGAGTCTTCCAAATCGCTACGATACACATATCAGAAACTCTTCTTCAATCTGAATTGCCTAAAGAAGCAGCAATCAAACTCTGGATCCAAATTCTCTACTTTGTGGTATACACCATGCTTACAAGCTATTTCAGCTACCCAGCAGTCACTCAAGTGAAAAGGATGGTGCTCTAATGACTGGAAGGTGCAGCACTTGCAACAAAGGGGGATGCATGCATTAATAAAAACGAACCCAAACGTGTCATTCTCAAACCCTGGAAATAACATTTTTGACATTACAATATCTGTCCTTTTCCTCTTCAGAATAGGTCACTTTGCCATGTGTTTCTAGCAGACGTTAAAATTAACACAAATCTGTTTATATTCACCACTGTACTTTTGTAATGGCACCATCCATGTCAGCAAAGCAGATGAAACCCACGGTGTTGCACCAGAGGCAGAGCCTGGCAGACCCCGCCCACGGGAAGCTCAGAGGCAGGACAACTACCGTTCCTAGCAGGTGCAGGGACACAGAGGGAAAAAGGAAGATTAGTCACAAGTTTTGTCAGTCCTGTTTCCTTTTAAAACAGAAAGCAAAGATCTCATTTCTGAATTTCCAGCATTTAGCTGAAATGGTGAGATTGAACTGCCCATGGATACAGCCAACACGACTCTCAGTAAGCTTCCTGCAGGATACTTAGCAAGTTCTTTCACTGCTTTACTTGTAGAGGATTTGTTCATGTTTGGCCATATAAACGATGTAAATTTACATTTCTAGCACAACTGGCACCATCCTGTTCTACAAAAGGCCACATTTTAGGGAACTATTACATCAAAATGAGTTCCGGTGTAAAAAATTGCTCAAATCACCAATATTTTCGTTTTGCATTGTGGTGAATCCTAAAGCTGGTTGCCAGTTTTGTCTTCTTTGCATCTCCTCCCGAGACAGCTCTGGCTATCTGGCACTTTTTAAAAGATGTCCTTTCATGTTTTATGCACTGAGGATTTTCTCAGTGACCTGGCAGGTTACAAATGCTTGTGGCAGAGACCTGGAACCCATTTTTCACGGGAAAACTGCCAAAAACAAATAAGCCAGTTTAAGTTTGTTCTATTTGTGATTGAGGAAGAGCAGGCTGTTTGTCTGATGGAAAGTTGCTAAGGAAATAAATTTGTAGCCACAGATTTTTCTAAAAATTAAACTGTATTTTTTCACTGCAGAAACTGCACTTTTATATATAAAAGAATAAATTCACAAATGCTCAGATATATATTAAAAGTATCACAGGTTTAGACATATATGATCTACACATCAACTTTTATAAATCTCACAAAGTCTGGAGCACAGGGTGGGAAGAAAGAAGCAGCACACTCCCATACCTTAGCTGCCTCAATCTTTCAGAAGTGTGAATATGAATGGACACCCCAACTTCTGACCTGAATCAAGCTCAGCTTCCTAAATTATAACTTTTTGCATGTCTTTGCAGTTAAAATACTGTTATAAAACATTCAAAATCTAAAACTATAAATTCTGCATATGCTGAATTATCTGCAGCTGAAGTAGCAAGACAGAGCAAGAAAATCCCCAAGATTTTTCTTTTTCAGTTTTGGACAGAAATCTAAATTGAAGAACAACCTTCTTCTCACTGTCAAGAAGAACCTGATTCAACTATGTAACTATGTACTAATAACTTCTACGTACTGTTAATAAACACAAGAGATTATAAACTTCCATGAATTTATTAAAATTCCATTATTTCTTACTGTAGGTGAGGACAACCTCAAAACCAACCACATACTACTTGGTGCCAAAGGCATTCTACTTCAACAACTGCCAAAACAATGAACATCCTCCTCCTGGAAGCTCAAGCATATGCTCTTCTAAAACTAAGTTTATGAAAGATGACAGCCAAAAAGGGCTTCACGTTAGAAAAGGCGTGGTCAGATTTCATGGAAAATACCCATTTGCCAATGGAAAACACTGGCAACTTAACACAAAAGTAGAAAGTTGGGCCAGCTCTGCTAAATATAACTGGCCACAAAACTGGCTACATAATATAGCCAGGAACCAACACTGAGCCAGAACTTGTCAGAGCTGCAGAATGTTTTTTCTGTAGAACAAGT